ATATATACATATATAACATCATATATTTGACAGTTTTTGTGTTTGTGTGCTTCTAATCTTTTTTAATACCTATTTTGTATCCTTCATTGATAGAATTCACCGTGTCCACTATAGATAAAATGGGTCGCAAGGAGGAGGAAGATGGCTGTATTTGGAAGAAACAAACAAACAACATACGTGACACCTTCGTGTTCATGGAAGTGCTAGGATCGTAAGTGTGTAAATTACTGGTATATTTCCTCCAACATGCACAGCTCCATTTCTCCATTCAGATCGGTGTGAAGCTGACACCTTTTTTCTTCATAATACTAGGTGAGGCTCTGCCTCCCCTGACTGCATGTCCCTGCTGTTGAGGTAGCTCCCAACTGTCTCTTTTTGGAACCAAACTCCTCTTTCCCACTTTCCTCCATAGTAGTCCCTCTTTTTGGTCTGATGTATAAACCTTTATTTAAAAATTAACTATTTAACTTCTAAAAGTGTTATACTACACTAAAAATATTATTCAGCCTCTAAATTTGCTTTGCATTTGTTATTTTGAGAAGCCAGTATAAAAGAAAGGTAGTGGTAAAGAAAGCACTTGTGGGTTTAACCAATCACTTTTTACATATTAATTCTTGATGGTTTGCATAGCTGAGGTGTAACAGGGGTTTGTCCTTTGTCTATATACTTTGTGCAAGATCTTATCCTCTTTCTCATCTTAGAAAACTGGGAGGTATGAGTGTGGTCAAAATGAAATCTCATGTCTTTTGTGGGCAGTTAGAAAAGATTACACATTTGACAAGCCACAGGCCAGTTTAAAGAACAGGTGACAGAAAAAGAGCTATAAGCAAAATAGAGATCTCAAAGAAGAGATGTCATAAACCTACATTAGCAGAGTCTTCAAAAGATTTCTAAATACCGTATATACTCGAGTATAAGCCGTCCCGAATATAAGCCGAGGTACCTAATTTTACCACAAAAAACTGGGAAAAAGTATTGACTCGAATATAAGCCGAGGGTGGGAAATAAGGCAGCACCTGGTAAATATACAAAATGAAGATAGATACCAATAAAATTACATTAATATTTATTTAAAAGAAAAACAATAACCTAGCTCTGTAAGTGGAAAAGGGGGTACAGGGCTACATATCATGTACTACGGATCATTTAACCCATTCATATTAGCAGAGGATAATTGTAAATCTATTGTTCAGTGCATTCTATATGTAGTATATAGTACATGTACATATAGAGTGCCTGCAACAATACATTTACAATGATCCTCTGAAACAGGACCAGCTCGAGACGCTGACTCGAGTATAAGCCGAGGGGGGGACTTTTCAGCAAAAAAAATGGCTGAAAAACTCGGCTTATACTCGAGTATATACGGTAAGCACTGTTAAAAAAATGGCAAGGTTGCAAACAGTGTGCAGAAAAGTCTGAATAATACACATCCTGAGTCTGTTTCTGTGTAACTACCGCATCCAAACTATATGCATATGCTATAATCCCTGCTATAATGAAGTTACCTTCTTAAAAATTGGTAACATGACTTTGTAAGAAGACACCAATCAGGTAGACACCAAACATACCTATACTACAAGAATCAAAAGGCTGAGGGGACACATTACACACTACTAAGATACATGCACAATATTGGTATCATATTTGGTCTCTAACGCATCGTAATTTCATTTTGTGCAACAGTATGTTGGCTGTCAGATTGTGAAACCTTGTCAGACAGAAATATTGAGTTATTTAGAATATTTGGCAGTAAGTGTGTATCTGCATAAGAATAATAAAGCACTCTAGCACTCCTACATCCCACCACTCAGACCTTTTGATTGAATGGGGGTTGACTCTGCTACACCCTCTTGAGATTCGGGAAAAAGCTGTTGCATTGGCAGTTTTGGAACTCTTGTTTGACACTGGCACTACTAAGGATACTATCATGTTCCTGAAGGGCCAGTGAGTCTGGTTCATCAGATTGTGCTTACTCTGCAAGCAGTTGGACTCTACACAGTTACCAAAGACCAGGTGATCTTTGCTAAATTATTTTTCATCTCTTTTGATCCTTTTTTTTAACTGTTGCTTTTCTCTATCATGTAATATTTTTTTAATATTTACTTTTCTCTGTCATGTAATATTTTTCTGTAAATATCCTGTTGTACGATTTTTCCTTTTTGTTCATTAAAACAATAATTATAAATCATTAAGCTAAATGGTCTAAAGAAATACATGTTTGCCTCTTTGAAGAAGCTATCATATTGTAAACTCATTTCAGGTTATATTCCTGTCTGGTTGTGGCAGCAAGTGGTACAGTCATTACTATTCATGCACAGAGGCATATGATTTTATGTATGATTTTGCTGGCAGCAAGAGCCTATGCAAAATTTTGTCCATACACTGTGCATATGTAATGTCTGTGCTAATGTGTACATGCATACAGCATATAGTGCTAATGTGCTCTGTTGGTTGCAAGGGCACTAGCTAGTTTGAGCACTATATGCATACAACATAAAATATGGTCCATACACAGGACAGTGAATGTAGATTTTTCTTTTTTTTTATGAATCTGAACACAGTGCAAGTTTACCAATATTTTTTACGTTGTGTGCATGGGCCCATGGAAAACAATATACTTGCATTTAGATCTGTAAAAAAAAATGCTGCATTTGTCTACGGCTGTCTGCATGAGTGCTAAAGTGCTACTGTGTGTGTTAAGGCTTGCTCTTTAGACCTCTGACTAAGAATCAGCCAAAAACAGGTGTGCAGGTATCATAGAAACAGGATGTAAGGAAAATCTCTCACTTCTCACAAGGAACTGTCACCTCCTAACAGTAATGCTATACATGATCTAAAGCCTCTAACATAATGATTGTGTTCCCCTGTAAGGTCACTATGCATCTATTGCTTCTTATCCAACCAACTTTACTTTACCAACAGAACTGTCACAAAGAGACCCACATTATCACTGCTTTTCCCATTTTTACTGTGGAACTGTGGAATGGGGGTTCCACTAGGTGCCACATCACCTGCCATCCTTTATGTTAAGGCAATCCTGACAAACAACATACTCAAGCCATTGACCTCTTTTTTCAATGCTATAGTTAAAGGAATACAGCCTGATCAAGTGAATTGAATAGTGAAAGGGTAGCAGATGAGATCTGATGATGTAATCTAGCCCTGCCTCCAGGGATAAATGGAAGTCTTTATACTCTACAGCTAGAGGTGGCTCTAAGACCTGTGTTTATGTATATGAATATGATGAGGAGGACTCAGGGCTGCTTACTCTAAAATTACTCTATTTCTCATCCATCTTAGCTAAGAAGGTGATAATATCACACCTTCCATAATCGTTTTAAGTCCACTTAAAGGGGTTCTAAACCCTCCGGTTTTTTTTGCTTATATCTACTGCTAGCATGCAGTAGATATAGGAAAGAAGTGTAAAAAAAAAAAAAAAAAAACCCTTAAAATCTTTTTAAAC